CCCCGCGCCCTGTGAGGCCGGGGCGAGCGCGGCGCCGGATGAGCCCCTCGCCCTCGTGCTCGGAGAAGGGGGTGTCCCGGCGCCGCTGGGCCCAGGGCAGTGGGGGGCACCTGCATGCCGTGACCCCCGGCCTGCTGACGGCTTCCCTCTCCTTCCTGCTTCCTGGCACGCGGGCAGATCCGAATAAGAGACCCTAACCAAGGCGGCAAGGATATCACTGAGGAAATCATGTCTGGAGCGAGGACCTCGTCCACCCCCACCCCTCCCCAGGTGAGAGGGCTCCGTGCCCCCCGGCCGGGCAGCACGGGGTGCCCAGGGCCCTGCTGAGGTCCCTCCTTGCCCCCAGGCTGGAAGCGGTTTGGAGCCCCAGGCCAACGGAGAGACCCCCCATGTAGCAGTTATTGTCCGGCCAGGTAGGTGTGCGTGGCGGGGTGGCTGGTGTGGGGCGCCCCGGCTGCGGGGAGGGACACGGCTGCGCCATGAGCCCGGGGTGGAGCGGGAGTCTGGCACATTTTCTGTGTGTGTGAGGAGCAGCGTGTCCCTGTGGTGCTCGGGACTGTTTGCAGCCCTTGCCTTGTCCCCTCGCCTGTGCCCCAGCCCTGCCCTGGGCGCCAAGGTCCCCTGCTGTCCCGTGGTGCGTCTGCCAGCACCAGCCTGGGGTGCTGGGCACGTCTGCTCTTGCAGATGGGGGTCTGGGGAGGATCAGGGCGCTGGACGCATTGGGAAGCCCCTCAATGCCGTTGGCCTTGCAGACGACCGCCCCAAGCCCGCGCTCGTGGTGAGCAAGCCCGTGTCCCTGGAGCCCAGCAAGTCGGCGTCGCCGTCGCCTCCCCCGCCCCTCATTCCCGAGGTGGAGCCCGTGCTGCTCTCGGCCGTGACGCTGGTGCCAATGGAGCCCCCCGTGGATGCGGACACTAAGGCGGAGCGGGGCGAGGCGCCGCCCGAGCCGCACAAGACTTTTAGCGCCGTCACTACAGTGCCAGGGGTCGTGGATGTGCCCCTCGTGCCTGCCCCCGACGTGGACACTGTGGTCCTGGAGGAGGAAGCCGCCATCCCCCTCCTCGAGCCCGCCCCGGAGGCGCCCGAGCTGCCCGAGGCGCAGCCGGCGCCC